GAATAATCGTAAATTACTTTTTGCCAACCTAATAGATAGAAACTGCAACGGACACCGATTATGAAGCAACATGCCTTCAAGAAAGTAAGGCAACCACTTTTGAAAGTTCAGGTTTTCTTCGAACCGCCGGAATCTATTCACGAGCTGTTGCGCAATCAACAAGAGCTTTGTCTTGTTCCTGAAAATGAGGAGGAATTAGAAAAGCGAAGAAAGGAGCTGGAAACTCTGGAGAAAACCATTTGCAAGGTGAGGCAGTTCACTACAATAAGGAAGCGCTTGCACGCATATGATATGAGCATTCATAGATAACCAGTAAGTTCAACGCACACTGTCACTTCTATGACCTGCTTCACCCTTCTAGTCAGCGGCTAAGGCCTCACGAGGTGGTATCAGCCAAAATTTATATAGAGTGTTTGTCAGCTCTTGTTAAACAATGAAATACCAAACGAATCCACTCACCATGGTGGCTTTACGAGAAGGTTCTCCAATGTGGAACTTGTAAACCAGAACTGGTGGGATAGCAAAAGTGCAAAATTTGGATAGACAAAGTGGAACGGTTGATTTAACACCAGCCTGATTGATATGATACGACATGTGACTGGTAGGAACTTCCGGTACGGGTGTCGTGAGTCTCATGAATATTCTGTTTGCTTTACTGACTGTTAAACGGCATCCGACATACAATTTCGAGAGCTGGTAGCATTATTATGAGCTACAGGATGGAGAGTTGCCTAGGGGAGGGGGATGTACCCTGGGAGAGAGTGTATGAACCGAATGTTTTGCAAAGAAGTGGTTCTGTTTTTATAAGTAATGGTTTACCTGAGCCGGAGTCCTTCGCATCATCCGCGTCTTTCTTCGGTATTTTTTGGATACTGTGGGCAGACGAGAAACCATTTCAACAAGGCTGCACAACCTCTTTTTCTCCAGTTGTTAATCCAGATTTGTTTTCTTGTTGGTTCATACCAATGCCTGACGAACAACTGATTCCTTCTTTTGTCGAGTGTAGATTACTCACTCTTAACAGTATAGGCTCTGATTACTATCAACTCTGCTCTGCGCAATTTTTCAATGACAGTGAAACCTAATAGTGGCACGTCTCCTGGCTCTGAGAGGTAACGGACTAGCCCAAGTACCTAAATACGAGCTACCAAAATGAATCGGTCGGAGGCTGTTTTACCTCACTCGATGCATCGGTGACATCACAGACTCGCAAAAAATTATTTCTAGCTTTGTCGCCGTAAACTGAAGCTTCCTGAACAAGAAATACGCTGCATGTGTAATTTTGTCTTTTGCAAACGACACAGAGAGCCTTCTTCACATTTTTGTCAGATTGATTACAAAGGGACTGGTCGAACCAAAATCGTAAAGGTATTTCTGTGCCTCTGTGTTCAGCTACGAACACTTCGTCCTTCTGTCCTTTTTACTGAATCGTATATATTCCAGGAGAATCCGAAAGTGATGTACAGCGATGTCCATAAGGCGCAAGCTGGGAACTGAAAAGCAGATAAATCAAAAATTAAAAGAAGCTAACTGGCTATCTAAAATTCAGTGGTCATGATTAATTAACATCCACCAGAATCTGCACTTAGAAATTGGAAATGAAAGTGAATGAAATGGATGGTATTACTGTCTCAGTAACTACTTGGCTGAGAAAAGTTCTTAACACAGCTGTATAACACATAGTTGGAATACGTACTACGAGACAGGGGCTTTTCGACTGCATTGCATAAGATCTTCAAAATCGCACATATTTCTACGGTCCACTTTGCGAGCGGTCTGACGGCTGCGTGTGGGTGGAAAGGCGAAAACTGGCTAGATGAAAATCGGTTTCTTCTGAGTGTTTTCGCTTTTAATGGGTTTTCTTCAGTGCCTGGATGTAATTTCCATGTGACTGACACGAATTATACAGAAAAAATTGTGGTCCAGACGTTCTTACATTTCTTACGAAAGCCGGACGGAAAATTTTTCCAGCTCTCAAAAGCTGGATATTGCAGAAATCAGCTGACTGAGCGCATCAGCCGGTATTGATCGCCGAAAATCTGGGCGGAAGACTGGGTAGGTAGCGCGCCGGCGTGTGTGTCAGCGCAGAGACAATGCCAGAACGCGCTGGAGCAGCCATTCCGCGACACGCCGCCGTCGGACCGCTCGCAACCTGGCCTAGGAACGCCTCGTTCGGGGGGAACCACTAGCAAGTGGACCACGAGAACCATGGTTATCGACACACCAGTTTCTTTTCCCTGCAGGTACGCGCTTTCTTGCTTCAGCGTGCGTAATGCGTCTATTTCACGGGCAGTTGTCTACCGTCTGCTGGCCTGCAAACTGACTGCCTTGCATAGCAGCAAGATCTCGTTATTGCTATCATACCATCACGGCACTGCGTTTCCCCTCATCAACTGTCACGTTCGCTGGTGGTACGTAGCTGTCATATGTGGGATAGGGGCAGAACGAGCCTCCAGGCTGCCGACCATCATAAACTGTCGCAAGTCAGAGATAGACCGCCCTACTAGCTCCGTCTCCACGACGGCCAATCAGTGAATCGAACACCCGCTCACCCACCATTAGCCCACCTCAGTCTCACAGTTCCCCGGGGGCCATATCGCTTTCCCGCACGATATAGTCTCGGTTCCCCGAGGGACCACCCGGGTCTACGCCCGTGACAGGCTGAAGGGGACGGCAGCCCATGACCAGGCATGTCCCCGTGGGGGGTCCGACCTCCCTCATGTCCGTCCTGGACCCCCAGGTCGGCCGGCCCTCCCACTGTCGCAGCCTGCCGTAACCGGTCTGACAGCATGCCTGTTAACCCCTACGGCATGCAATAACAACCACATAAAATACCAATAGAAACATGGACCAATAATAAATATACCTTACCCATCCTGTACCTTCCCCTGCCTTACCAGCACCTTACGGGCCCACTTGCCCGGTCGCTCCCAACTCCCATCTATTGCAACATAACAAAACATATAAACACCATATTTATTAACTCACGTGTTTGCGGTAACCATCTTCCAACTGTCCTTACATCCTGCCGTA